TTATGGCAGACAATGTCTGGCGGAGCTCCCCCATTAAAACAAGCTTGGAAGCAGGAGTGTCATCCACTTCCGTAATAGCTTGCCTATGAAAATCCTATGAACCTGGAGAGAGGATGAAAGTCACATAAGTGCTAAGGACATTTGTTCATAGTCTATGAGTCGCCTATGACTCAACGACACTTAACAACAACAATCCTCATTGTGGCACTTTCTGTAAGTTAAGATTCATTGCACTATGAGGTGCAAATTAGCAAGCCTGTGGGAACCAGCAGGTCAGATGTGAGGGGAGCAGTGGACCCTAGTTAATGGCAAGACAGGCTAGGTTAAAATAGAGAAAAAGGCTAACCAAAAGTCCAAAGTTGTCACACCTGACAGGCTGTCAGAATTTAACAATTTAGCTCACTTTATGACCTGAAGTTAAAAGTGACCTAACTTGCTACTAACTTATCAATTTCCTAAAATTCCAGAATTTGCCAATCAAGGCCCCATGTGAGCACTGCTAGCCTCTGCTGTCCAGCGATGACCTGAGCTATTGTAAATGCTAAAGCCTCCACCCAGGGAGGAATCTGCCTGTATGAAGAAGCATGATGGATGTATTCATAACCAGACTGTGCTGTAATTCCATGACGCCAACAGCACTCATGAATAAACCTTCCCATGATAGATGGGGCCTCCCTGGAAAAGCATTGGAGACAGTTGCTGAGCCCCAATGACCCCTTATATTTGCTTCAAGTAAAGTAAAATCCATCTGTGTCACCTCTCTTAGGCATTAAGTGCCATTCTCTGTGTGAGAATACAATTAAGTATTTTCACTGAGGACAGGTAAGGATCCTTTGAGTCCAGAGAGAGCTCTACTGGCCTTCGTTCTAATAACACTGTTATCCTGAGGGGGTAAAGGGAATCCCTGACCAAGAGCCATCAGGCCGGAAGCAAAAGTGTCATGTAGACTCCAGAGTTTACAGCTGGCATCTGAGGTCTCAGGCAGACTTAATAGTCTACACGACTGAGTCCTTTAATGACATGGTCTGACCTAGCTGCAGGTTGTTGGAGTCAGAAGGACAAGTGAAACAGAATTTATAACCAGTGAATTTTAATTCATTTGAGAAATGGAGGTTTTATTATCCCAGAATTATCCAGAATATGCTTCAGTTTGCTGGTTAGAGGTCCCAAACAATATACGTTAATTGACAGATAATTTGTACTACTTATCTCCATAATTCGATTAGCCTACTTTGTAGAGAATTGTAGGTAGAGGCACAACTATTGCCTGTCTGATGGAACATAAAATTCCACAGGTTACAATTTAACAGGTTTTGGTATTTCACTGAGTAATCGAATTCTCCACAATAGTAACAGCATCTTACTAGTTCCCCACACCATTTAGAGCTGAATAAAATCTTTATTCTGATGTTTTATTATTCGTAAAGGATCTCAGGAACTGGTTTGAGGCCATGAGTGAAGACCAAATGAGCTGTGGCAAGATATCAAAAATATCGTCCATGAAGAATGCAAAAGGTCATTAAAAAGGCAGAAGAGGAAGAAGAACAAGATGGATGTCAGATGAAACTCTGAATATTGCATTAGAGTGCCAAGAAGCCAAAGCTAGAGGAAGAAATCAAGAAACTAGGGACTGAACAGAAAATTTCAAAGGGCAGCTTGAGATGCCAAAGTAAGGTATTATAATGAAATGTGCTAAGAGGTAAAGTCAGAAAATCAAAACAGCTGAACTTTCTCAGCAGTTCTTAAGTTGAAGGAATTGAAAAACAAATTCAAGCCACAAGTGGCAATACTCAAGGATGCTTTGGGAAGAATGTTAAATGATCGAAGAAGCATTAAAAGAAGGATGGAAGGAATATAGAGTCACTGTACCAGAAGGAATTGGCTAACACAGGAAAATTTCATGAAACAATGTATGAGCAAGAGCCTGTGGTGATGAAGGAGGAAGTTCAAGCTGTTCTCAAAGAATAGGCAAAAAAACAAAGCTCCAGGAGCTGATGGCATATCAATTAACATATTTCAACAGTGTCCTGGATGTGCTCACTAAGTTATTCCAAGAAATCTGGAGGACAGCCACCTGGCCAACTGACTGGAAGAGATCAATAATTGCTCCCATTCCAAAGAAAGGTCTCTTGACAGAGTGGAAATTATTGAACAGTATCATTAATAGCACATGCCAGCAAGATTCTGCTGAAAATTATCCAAAAATGTCTAGAGCAACATGTCAACAGAGAACTGCCAGACATGCAGGCAGGGTTTAGAAGAGGCCATGCATGGCACTAGGGATATTACAGTAATATTAGACGGATCTTGGCTGAAAGCAGAGTACCAGAGGAACATCTAACTGTGTTTCATTGACTGTGTAAAGGCTTTTGACTGTGTGGATGCCAACAAACTGTAGCTGACTCTGAGAATGGGAATCCCAGAACATTTGTGCTTATGTGAAACCTATACTTTAATCAGGAGGTGTTGCGCGCCTTGCCTGTCCAGCAGGAATAAGGACACAACACACCAGCGGTTCCTTCTCACAGCGGTTTACGCAGTTTTGTTACAGAGGGTGGTGGAAGATGGAGTCTATCGTCCCTTCCCCGGGTGCGGCTTTTATCCCCTCCTCGGTACTCCGCCCATCACCGCCCATCAGTCTCATGTGTCATGCCTCCATTGGATCATTAACCCCACGTGAAATCAAGCCATCAACCAATGAGAACACAGTGCCCAAATAAGGTCTTGTTTGTGTTTAAGGCAAACAAAGAGAAGCAGGAAATCAGCGCCATCTTGTAATGGAGGACCATGCGCGCGTTCATGGCCCTCCACAAGGAGGCAGTGGTCAGAACTGAGGAAGGAGACACTGTGTGGCTCAAAATCGGGAAGGTATCCACCAGGCATGTATTCTTTCTCCATACCTTTTCAATCCATATGCAGAACAGATCATCCAGGATGTTGGGCTGTATAAGGAGGAATGTGGAATCAGGATTGGAGGAAGATTCATCAACAACTTGTGTTATGCAGATGACACAACTCTTCTTGCTGAAACTGAGGAGGACCTGAAGCACTTGCTGCAGAAGGTCAAGGACTGCAGCCTTCAGGATGGATTGAAGCTCAACATCAAGAAAACAATTGACAACATCATTATGGATGGTGAAGAGATCAAGATTATTAACAGTTTTGGTTTGCTCCATAGCCAACACTCTTGGTAACAACAGCCAGGAAATTAAGAGGCGAATTGCTTTGGGAAAGTCAGCTCTCAGGTACCTCTCCAGAGTACTAAAGAGCAATATCAGGCTGGAAAACAAGGTGCTCCTGATCCAGGCCATAGTCTTTGCAATTGTGTGCTATGCATCAGAGAGCTGGATGATGACTAGGAATGATAGAAAGAGAATTGATGGCTTTGAGCTGTGGTGCTGGAGAAGAGTGTTGAATATACCATGGACTGCTAGGAGAACAAACAGATTTGTCCTAGAGAGGGTGAAACCAGGCTGCTCCTTGGAGGCAAGGATTCTGACGCTTAGTCTGATATATTTTGGGCATATTATAAGGAGGGACCAGTCCTTGTAGAAGGACATCATGCTTGGGAAGGTGGAGGGACAGCACAAGAGAGGAAGACCCTCGATGGCATGGATTGATTCAGTGACTGGGGTAATGGGAATACGTGTGTCAGAGACAGTAAGGTTGGCACAGGACAGAGTAGGGTTTAGGGTCCTTGATAGGGTTGCTATGAGTCACAAGCGATTCAACAGCATATAATAACAACAATAACAAAGAATTCTAACCAAGTGATTATCTCCCTCGAAGAGAAAAATACCTGTTACAAGTTTTCTTCTGGATGAACATTATTGAAATTGTCACAGGCTTCTTCCATTCTGAAGCTTTCTCTGAGCTCAGAACACCAGAGCTCCCATCAACACTACAAACTTTCCCACGTACAAGTTGGTCCCAATGGATAAACAAGATTCACTTAAGAATTTGCAAGTAAATCAGAACACGTGAGTACAGTTCTTACCCTTCCTTACGTGCACGTGAGGGAGCTCGGGTGGCCTAGGGAATAGGGAGTTGTGCTTCCAAGCCAAACAAAGTGCAAATCCATGAACTGCTCTAAGAGATAAAAATGAGCAGTCTCTTCCTGTGCAACTTACAGGGTCTGGAAACCCACTAGAGGATCAGCTATGGCTTGGTTGTGACTCAGCAGCCATAAATGAATGAGTGAAAGACTAGAAATCACTCCAAACACTTCAAAGTTGACTGCAGCCTGTAAAGGCGCTTGTGATGTAGGATTTGTAGTGAATAGGGATTGGTTCAATTATTCAAAGAGGGCAAATTTGCCTAACAGCACAGGGCAAAGCAGGACTTGTTTACAAGTTGGTCATTGAAGGGATTGCCTGTGAACAAGCCAGTGCTGAAAGATAGTGAATTTCAGGTGTAACACACTAAGTGGAAAATCAAAGGAAAAATGAAAATTTGCTCATAAAACTTCATTTCCCAATCTTCTAAGCACACAATGCTTAGCCTAGAACATTTTGGTATTCAAACTTGATAGGTTTTGTTTGTATCATTTTAATGCTTTTACTAGTAGGAATTCTTCAATGAGTGATCACGTCAAGGAAAAATAATTGCTTTAAACCTTTGTGAAAACAAGAAAGTGATTCATCATATATGTTCGTAAAATTTTGCTTAGACCATAAGGTGTTTTGTTTTTTTCATCATTAGCATTCCAAAGTAAACTAATCATGGAAATAATGGAGTATCTAAAATACAGTGTCACAAGAATGACGAAAAGAAAGGGTCCACAGTCCAGTCAGTAGCTCTTTAATAAAATGCACAGAACCCCAGTATAACAGCTCTTTAATACATGGGTTCAAATTCAACTACACCAATCATTTTCCTGCAATTTCACAGTCACATTCAATAAATTCTTGTTAGTGCTGTTACTCAGCATTTTCACTCTCAAGGACCTTCTTCGAATTCACTTCACAAAGCCTTGCACAAAGAAGAGTTTAATCAACAATAAAACTGTTACTAGCAGTAGCTTTATTTTCATCATTGTCACCATCACCGTAAACAAAAAACATGCATTTTCTTCCTCCTTTGTGCAAGGCATTGTAAAATGTATGTGATGTTCTGCCTTGAGGTACAAAGTTTATATATACAATATACCAATACAAAGTTGAAGCCATTAAAAAGAGCTTAATAACAACTTCTCTGAGACACTGAAGTCTGGAGTGTTGATGAAATCTATGAAGAGATTTGAAAACATCACAAACTCAAACATTAAAGTTTTACTTGGAAAGGAAGAGAACTCCTCATGTGCTACTGAAGGACTTTCTAAGTTGCTTCAAATTTACTTTCTATCTGCGATTATTTTTAAATACTGCAAAGCATTGTGAGCTGCATCACTTTGTGCACTGCCACAGGAGACCCCAGAGCCATGACAGACAGTGATGGGACTCGTTGACAGTTCAGCCAGACACTGATACTGACCATTGGCACTCAGCTCTTCTGTAAAGACATATGCAAACATGATGGTTAGTGCTGAGTATGTAGAAAGCAGATCCTCTGTAAAAACAATGTCATTTTATTATTTCTGAGAGGCATCCATGGTATATTCTTCACCGACCAATAGCTCAGGCAGAAAAAACATTATTTAATCATAACCTCTGTCCTACTTATGAAAACAAAACACAGCTGATTAACTAGAGCAGTATTTCTCAAATATAGCCATGCATCATCACTTGAAAAAGCTTTATATAAATATAGGTGCCCCAAACCTCACTCCAGCCTACTTAACCTGAAACATAAGGTTGAAGGGTGAGGAAGGGAGGTCAGACCACCAGAATCTAATGTTTACAAAATAGATCCCAAAGTGGTTCTAATGTGGCTAGTTTAAAATGTTTGCTAATTACTGAACCATGAGAACTATCTTAAATGGGGAAGGAATCACTTGCGAGAAGGGTGGCGGTGGTGGTGTGTGCTAACTGACTCATAGCTGACACTCGAGTGGGTTTTCAGAGGCAGTAAATTGCAAAAAGGAAAATGCTCATGTTTTTCTAAAAAAAAGGGAAGAAAAATTCCATTTCCCACTCTGGAATCTAAATTACTGTCAGTAGACATTTGAACCAAGAAATACCTAGTTTAAGACAAGATTTCTCTTCCATCTTTGTGTTCTTTGATTTTAAGTCTATGCAGAATGTAGTTCTATATTGCAAATGGGCTGAGATGTTTTAAAAGTAAATTAACCTAAACCCAGGTAGTAACAAATATTTTTCTGATCAACTTATGGTTCATATTAAAGACGGTTGAAAAGAGACAAGGGGAAGAAGTAGAAGTAGAAAGGGTATGATTTCTTTAGTCATGATTAAGTGTTAATAATTTCAGCTAGAAGCAATTGAGTGGAAAACAGTAACAGACAGTGGAATAATTTAGTTAAGTGAAGAGGCTTTCTATAGCATCTAGGTTCTTTTGAAGCTAATTACATGGAAGCTAACCTCTTGACCAAATTAATATAGTTTTTAGAATGCGGTTCTATATTTTTAAGAATTATTAAAGTTCTTAAAGTTTGGCAAAAAAATTTCAAGTTAATAAAATCATCTAAATTTTCTTCTTTTACTATGAAAAACTTTGATTTATCTTCCACAGCCCTATTCATGATTTATGAAAAACGCATCTCTGTATTTCAAATATCCACCGAAGTGCGCCGTTAATAATGTTTAAAGCATAAATAGTTGGCCATCAACCACGTTTCCATCCATCTGCACTATGTCAGAAGTGAGGAGGACGGCACAGGATAGGACAGGGTTCAGATCTTTGTTCACAGGATCTCTGTGAGTCATCCTTGGCTCAATGGCACCTAACAACCACCTCTGCACCACATTCTCGGGTGCTGCAGCCTTCTTAGTGTATTAAGACAGTGCACTTGATCCCAACATTCAGTCTCAAAATTGTAGAGAAAATAACTCTGTCAGTCCCTAAATTTACTACTTTCCCAGTATTAGTAGCTCTAAAGGTACTCACATCTCACTGAGATTTGTCCACTATTTGTCTACCTAAATGAATCAGTAAGAAAAAATATAGAAGATGGTGAATGATGGCTGATGTAGGGAAAGTTAGAAGCTGACTTGTGGGCATTTTTAGTCTCAGAACTGGCACACAGAGATGGGGTGGAAAGAAGAGGTCTGGTCTCTACCACTTGGTTTCTGTTCTGGGATGCTTCCTCATTGGCCAACCTGTGCATTAACACTAGCTCAACCATGCATCTGCTGTAATTCTTCTCTACAGTAGATACCATATTGACTAGCTAAGTGATCTTGGGCAAGTTTCCAAACTTTTCTTTGCCTTCCATTCGTCACTGCCATCAAGGTGAATCTGATGTATAACAACCCTCCACTGAGTTTCTGACATCTTTTTGTTAACAGCTGAACATGTAACACACTTTATTTGGGGAGCACCACCAGTGCCCCTCAAATATAGATCATAAATAAAATCTTCTTAATTAAAAGGTGAGATTATGAATTAAGCTGACATAGTAAAATTCTATAGACCATCGCTATTACTGTTCTAGCAACTATGTGTGTTAGAAATCTTGATCCAAGAAACAAATGAGAATTTTTTTTTTCAAATGAGCAATTTTTGTTTCTCAAATACATTTTACAAAGTAACATTCCTTGAGATAAGCCAAAGGGGAGAAATCATACCTATATCCAAGTATGTTATAGTAAAACCTTGCTCCTTAGCAATTTCACTAAGCAGCTGGATATAATCCATGTTTGGAATACTGAGGAGACTTCTTTTCAGTAAGTTGATCTTTTCACCAGGAGAATTCCTTAAGGAATGCCAAGTACATCCTAAAGAATGTCCAACTACATTTGTCTGAAAAACACAGGTAAAGACTTAACACTCTTAGCTAGAATTGAATTCTAATACTAATGTAATAAAAGTACTTATTCAAAGCTCATATAGTACTTTACAAAGCAGCATGCCTAAATGAAAACTAGTTGGCTAACTTTTCAATTTAAACTAATATTTTTTGAAACATACACTTTTTAAAAAAATTAAGCACTTGCAATATATACTGGAAATATTTTAAAATACCTTTGTATAATACATGGGTCTCTCAGTCAAAATTTCTGGTGGTCATGTTAAGAGGTAAAGATACTTAAAATCACCCTAAGCAAATCTGCAAAGAAAAAACCTGCCTAATGGAGTATATTACAAGTAAAAATATAAAACAATTTTATATCTTGATAGTTTCTTATGTTAAAGGCCAATCACTAATAATGAAACTCATAACAATCACTATAATTAATCATCAATAACTAAGCAATTGAACTGTAAAGTAGAAAAGTAAAATTAACTGGTTGGGTCTGAGAAGAATAAGCAACATTCAAATGAGTAGCAGAAAGAGCATCTCTGAGAAAACACCATCACTGAGAGGGCAAAAATGGCATGACTGGTCTACTATTTTTCCATCTTAGTTTGAATTTGATCTTTTCCCCAGACCTCCTTACCTAGTCACCCCCAGCGACCTTGACTGGTATCTATGAGTCAATTAAATTTGCAACAGTGTATAAATGAATAATAAAGACATCTTTAGAAATTGCAATTCTGAAGGATCTATGCAGCAAATCAAAGTTTCCTATAGCAAGGATGCTTAGTTATATCAACATCATACGTTCTGAGCATTACTCACTAAAGAAATGTGGTTGTCTGGAGAAATTTTACTGAATTTGGCAAGAAATTTCTCAGCGGCATTTCTCTTGGCTTGTTTTTTGGATGCCCCCTTTCCTAAACAATGAAAAAGAAATGATGTTAGAAAAGAAGATTATTTCATTAGCACTGTATTTAATTAAAGAAGAGCCTCATGGTTTTGACACCCTGTATCTTCACGATTCTGGTATCTTTACCTGCCGTATAGGTATATCAGAGATACTGTGAGCTTGGGTCCATATCCCAAGAATAAAGTGAGTATGGCATAAAGTGAGTGCAAAGAATATTTTGGTTTCCCAATGCATATAAAAATTACTTTTACTACTCTAAAGAAACCATAACCCCCACCTAAGTAGATATATGCACACCCATGTGTATTGTGGCTTTGTTCACAATAGCAAAGAGCCAGAAACAACCCAAGTGCCCATCAACAAATGAATAGAGAAGCTCTGTTATATTCACACAATGGAATACTATGCTGCACTGAAAAACAAGGAACTCATGAAATATTATTCAAAATGGGTGACCCTGGAAGACATTATGCTGAGTGAAATATCTCAGTCACAAAAGGACAAATATTGCATAGGGCCATTGTTGTAAAATGGGACTGACATCTGAGTTGAGGGAAGACAGAGAAGGAGAGGATGAATAATGGATACTGCATTGAAACAGATCAGGGAGATGACTGTTTAAAAACGATATATGATTGGGCATTATTGTCATGACAGGAGTCCAGAATGAAGGTTTCACAGTGGAGTGGACTTGAAGGAAGGGCTTACATAACAATGAAAGAGTTTTCCTTTTACTTTTCAAGGAGAAGAGTGAATGAGGGGAAGGGGATTGACAGGAAGAAAAGTGCAACAATGAATGACTGAAACCCTAAGTCTCTGTAAACTTTCATTAAAATTAATTTAAAAAATTACATTTATACTATAGAGTAGTCTGCTATAGAATGATAGTCTGTAATAGAATGATGAAAAAATTTGAAATATTGTAAGAATTACTAAAATGTGATACAAAGACATCAAGTGAGCATATGCTGTTGGAAAAGGGCTCTGACAGGTTTGCTTGATGCAGGGTTGCCATTAACATGCAACTTACAGGAAATAAAGTGCAGTATTTTCAGGAAGCAGCCGCAGCTGCTGTTGTGTCAGAACAGACTCACAGCTGACTCTCCTGTGGGTTTTCCAAGGCTGTAAATCCCATGGGAAGATACAGCCCATCTTTCTCTCTCAGGGCTGCTGGTGGATTCCAACCACTTTTGGGTTAACAGTGCAACTCCCTATGAACTGCACCCTCAGAACTTCATAAAGTGAAGCACCATAAAACAAGGTATTCCTGCACTCCACATAAGCTATTCATTTACATTTTTTAAGATATGTCTGTTCTTTAAATGTTGGGTTTCTCCCCCTTCTCTAAAATACACAAATAAATACAAACTTGAGTCTATGCAAATTGAATTTAAAAAGCATCTTACAAATAGATTCAATGCACTGAACACAAATGACTAAAGACCAGATCAGTTGTGAGATGACTTCAAAGACATCATCCATGAAGTAATAAACAAAAGGACATCACAAAGACAAGAAAGAAAGAAAATACCAAAACAGATTTCAGAAGAGATTCTAGAACCTACACTAGAATATAGAGAGGCTAAAACAAAGGTAAGAAAGGCTGAAGAGAGATGAATGGAAAATTTCAAAGGGCAGCTCAAGAAAACAAAACAAAGTACAATAATAAGATGTGCAAAAAGGTTAGGTTAGAAAACCAAAATGGAAGAACATACACAGCATTTGTCAAGTTAAAGAACAAATTCAAGCCTCAAGTTGCAATACTGAAGGATTCTATGGCAAAATCTTGAATGATGCAGAAAGCATCAAAAAACATGGAAGGAATATCCAGAGTCACTGCATCAAAAACAACTGGTCAACACTGAACCACTTCACAAAGTAGCATATGATCCCAGAACACTTAACTGTGCTCATGTAAAACCTACACATAGACCAGGTAGTTGCCTAAGCAAAACACTTCATGGCTTAAAATAAGGATAAATGTGTTCTTCAAGGTTGTGTCCTCTTTCTCCATACCTAAGCAATCTGTATGCAAAGCAAACCAAGTGAGAAGCTGGACTATATGAAGACAATATATAGGTGGACTATATGAGAAGAATGTGGCATCAAGATTTGAGGAAGTTTCATCAGCAACTTGCATTATCCAGGTGATACAACCTTGCTTGCTGAAAGTAGATGTGAAGCACTTCAAAGATCAAAGCCTTCAGTATGGATTACATCTCAACATCTAAGAAAACAAAAATCTTCACCATTGTACCAATAAGCAACGTCATGATGGATAGACTGAAGTTGTCACTGTCAAGAAATCAAAATACATGGTGCATTGTTGCCAAGGACCTCTCCAAATGGTGAGGAATAAGGATGACCATAGAATCACTGATGCCTTTGAATTGGGGTGTTGGAGAATAGTACTAAATATCCCTTGGAGTGCCAACAGAACAAACCAATCTGCCCTGACAAGGAACTCCTTAGAGACAGACAGTGAAACTCTGACTCACCTGCTTTGGGCATATTTCAGAAGCCAGTCCTTTGGAAGATAAACATTGCTGACAAAGGTGGGGGATCAATGAACAATAGAATTATCTTCAAAGAGCTGGAATGGCACAGTGAGTGTCACAGTGGACTAGAACATGGCAGAGATCATGAGGATGGTGCAAGACAAGGTCAGGTTCAGATCGGTTATTCACAGGGTTGCTATGAGTTGTGTTGACTTGATGGTACCTAACAAAAACAATCTTTTATAAACTGACACCTATATTCTATTTCTTTCCTTAAGTAGTGAGAAGGGCTTTAGGAGATACTGGAATTTAAGTCGAGAATAAATGTTATTTATTCCAAAGCCTGTGTTATACACTAAAACCTTAATTTCTAGGAAGATTAATAAATATACCCAAACTGCTTTACAAAGCAGGAAAGCAGGACAGCAACAAGAACTTGGAAGTCACAATCTGGCTTTTGGCCCAGTGTTCTCTGCAATACCTGTCATAGGAAAGTTACTATTTGAAACTATTTATCCCAAGGGTAAAATTCCTTTCCTGAGGCCGTTTACAAATAGAAAATACATGCCAGAGAGTGAAAAGGAATTTTTCACTATTATTTTTATAAGTGACTGCCTGTTTTCTATTGCAGAATTGATGGCCTTTACAACCTTAAATAAACAAACAAAACCATACTTACTGCCTAGAGTGGATTTTATGTCATAGCAATGCTGAAGTTGCTATCATTCAAAAGGATAATGTCTACCTTATTTTCATTTTGCTATTCTTCCCATGTAGTTCTCTTACTTTACTTAATGTTCACTTGGAAAGATCCCGTCTGGCTTGAGTAGGGTGGGTTGTAATCTGTATGGAAGCATACTGCTAGGCTCAGTTCTTCAGGTTTGCTGAGTGAGTTTGAACTACCAACCTTTTAGTTACCAGTCAAGCAAAGACCACCTGGTGGTGGTACGGCTAAAGAATTCAGCTACTAACAAAAAATTTCATGGAATCCAAGAGTCTCTTTGTGAAAGAAAGAAGTGGCAGTCTACTTCCATATCTTTTACAGCCTTAGAAACCCTATGGGGCAGTGTTGTGATGTCCTGCAGGGTCACTGCGAACGGAAAGAAGTTGAGTCTTTGGGTTAGTCTCAAAATCACCTTCTTTTCAAACGTCATCTGCCTTTAGTTCTCTCATCTTCTTGTATAGCTGTTGAAATTTCCAGGGATTTACTTTTTCTTCCCCCTCCAAAATGTGTTTCTTTTTTAAGCTCACACTTTCAAGGAAGATTTTTAAAAGTAGAGTCAATGATTTATCTTTCCATTAGCAAGTTATAATTTTTTTAAAGTAGCAAGTTAACATCATGAAAGTATTCTTACACTGCATATTCATAACTTCGACCTTAGAAAGTTAGAGTAGAATAGGAATATATCAATTTTCCCTCCATAAAATGACTTGAAAAGATATTATCACAGAAGTTTCTACAATCATTTACCATCTGAAAGCATTTTAAATGTCTTTAAATGTATAAAGAGAAGTACCAGTTTCCATAAATGATTCCAGCCTGCATATTGTGATATACTCTCTCTTATGAGCAGGTCCTCCCTCTTGGGAAAGGGTGTATTCAGGAAGTCTCCAGCCATGATGAATAGCCAGTTCCTATAAAATCAAAATAAAGTTGTAATACTAATATTAGCTATGTAATAGCTCAAACACGAATTTTTATTTTCTTAATTTTTATTGCATTTCTATCATATGTTAGAAAGGAATCATGCTATTATACAATAGAAAAATGAAGGCTAGCTCCCATAGATAGTTTAGCATTTTATATTTTTTTCAAAATGTGCTTGGGTAAAAGTGTTATTCTCTACTCAATAATTTATATGCATTTTGTGTTGTTTATGAGTTGCAATTCCCTCAATGTTAGCAGCACTCTTCTGCTTCCTCCCTTGGCTCTAATACCACCTGTCACTCTTTCTGCCCCTTCCTTCTGAGCATTGTTTCAGCAAATGCTGCCTTTTTGGTCTTACAGGATTATGAGGAGTATATTCCTTGCAGGGTATGAAGGGTGTCTAAAAGCCACTCTTAGTGAATGCCATCAGTCTCTAAGTAGATTAGTAAATCAGGTCTTTTTATAGAAAGATTTTAAATTTGATTCTGTTTTTCTCCCTTTTTCTCCACGACCTTGTGTGGTGTAGATCAGCGTTCTCAGTAGTCACGGCAGGCCACCATCTAGTTCTGGTCTCAAGTAGTGGAGACTATGTCTGTGTGTTCCATTAGATCTTGGGACCAACTGTTTCCTTGTGTCTTTGATTTTCTTCACTCTACTTTCCTCCTGATTGGGAGAGACTAACAGTTAATTGCATCTTAGAAGATGCTTGCTAGTTGTTAAGACCCCAGTGGCTACTCACCACAGTAGGCTGCATGTACACCACTGTCTCTGCGTACCAAGTTATATCACAAAAGTGTTCCCCTGAGACTGCGAACCCAAGTCCCCAAGCCCATTCTCACAAGTATTCAGGTATAGCAGTTTTCAAATTCTGCCTTATTTGTTCTAATATATACGTGGTTATATTCACAATATTCACAAGTATATGTGTAGAAATATCCTCTGTCAAATCTGTGTCCAGTTGTGGATGTAGTTTCCCTGCTTGCCTCCTCAGACCTTTCCAGCTTGCATCTCTGCTTTTGCAGTCATTCATATATTTTTACTACTGATGTTGTAGGCCTGTGTATTTACCTTTGCTCTCAGTAATTCCTTGAGCTCAAGAAATGCTGAGCGAGTTTGGCCCTTTTGATTTTCTGACTCCAACTCCCTGCACATTTCATTGTAATATTTTACTTTGTCATCCCGTGCTGCCTTTTGAACTCTTCTATTCAGCTCTTTAGTATCTTGAATTCTTCCTTGTGCCTTGGCTTCTCTGTGCTCCAGTGCAATATTCAGAGTCTCTTCTGACATCCATTTTGGTCTTTTCTTCCTCTTCTGCCTTTGCAATGACTGTTTGCACTCTTCCTCGATGATATCCTTGATATCTTCCCACAGCTCATCTGGTCTTCACTCATTAGTGTTCAAGGTCTCAAACCTGTTCCTGAGATGGTTCTGAAATTCAGGTGGAAGAGACTCTAAGTCATATTTTATATGGATTCAGGCTCAATGTCAAGAAGACAAAGATTCTCACCACTGGACCAATTGGCAGCATCAGGATGGATGATGAAGAGATTGAAATTGCTCACAGCTTTAATTTGCTTGGGTCCACAGCCAACACTCTTGGCACCAGTAGCCAGGAAATTTTAAAAGACGCATTGCCATGGGAAAGTCTGCTGTGAGGGACCTTTCCAAAGTTCTGAAGAGCAATGGTGTCTCTCTGGAAACTAAGGCACATCTGATACAAGCCATGGTCTTTGCTATCACTTGTTATGCATCAGAAAGTTGGACAATGACCAAGGAGGATAGGAGAACTGATGCCTTTGAGCTGTGGTGCTGGAGAAGAGTATTGAGGGTACCAGGGACTGTTAGGAAAACAAACAGATTCATCCTGGGGAGGGTTAAAGCAGGCTACTCCTTGGAGGCAAGGATTCTGAGGCTCCATCCAACATACTTTGGACATGTTGTAAGGAGAGACTGGTCCTTGGAGAAGGACATCATGCTTGGGAGGGTGGAGGAACAGCGCAGCAGGGGAAGGCCCTATATGAAATGGATTGATTCTGTGACTGGGATAATCGGGATGGGTGTGTCAGAGGCGGTGCGACTGGCACAGGATAGAGGAGGGTTTAGGGCTGCTGTACATAGGGTCGCTATGTTGCTATGAGTCACAAGCGACTCGACGGGACATAACAACAACAATCAATAATTCCTGTGTATTTTTCAATGTTTTCTTTTACCTTAGTGATATTATGCTGACCTTTCTCTTAAAGCAGGTTGCCTTTCCTACCACTCAAACTTATATAGTTAGTGATTCTCCTTCCTGGTAACTATCAAAGAATGTTTCTTTCCATGTGTAAATCTTTCCTTGACATTTTACTATAATTGTCTCACATAATAGGTGTCCTTTTGCGATTGATTTATTTCACTGAGCATAATGCTCTCCAGGTTCATCCATGTTATGAGGCATTTCTTGGATTCTTTGTAAATTTTAAGTATATAATCATGAACCAGAGTTCATTTATGCATTCATCCATTGCTGGGCACTTAAGCTGTTTTCATCTTTTTGCTATTGTGAGCAATGTTGTGATAAACATGAGGGTACATATATTTATTCATGTCTTGGCACTTATTTCTCTCTAGACAATACACCTAAAAGTAGAACTGCTGGATCAAATGGTATTACTAATTCCAACTTTTAAAAAAA